TCTATTTGCATAAAGTATCTTTTCTCATTCATTCTTTTTCAACCTGGGTATATTGTTATAGCAGGAGAGTCTCTTATAAAAGGCATAATATTGAGTCTTGTTTTTCTTTTTTTTTCATTTTTTAATCTCCAGAAACTTTATGTGTTTTGATTGGATAGTTTAATCCATTTATATTTAAAATTATTATTACCATTTATTGTTATTATGTCAGTCTTGAAGTTCTTTTGTGACTCTTTCCCTCTCTTACTGTCTTCCTTTGTACTTCATTCATTTTTTTATATTGACATTTTTTATTCATTTTCTTTTGTGTATTTTTATATCTTTTTTGTGGTTACCATGAGGGTTACATCGAACAATTCATAATATTCTATTTTAAGCTGATAACAGTTTAACTCTAATCCTGCTTCAATGTTTTTTGGTACCAGGAATTGAACTCGGGACCTTATGCTTGCCAGGCAGGCACTGTGCCAGTGAGCTATATCTCCAACCCTTGACTCTAATTCTGCAAAAACCACTGTACTTTTACTTTTTCCCTTTACATATATTTTATGTTATTTATTCATAATTTCAATTACTTTTTAAATTGTGTATACATTATCATATTTTCATAATTATAATTATTTTAGTGAGGTTGTTAGCAGCTTTTATACTAGAATTAAAATGATTTATCCACCACCATTATAGTATAGCAGTATTCTCAATTTGTCAACATGTTTACCTTTAGCATTGAGTTTTATCCACTAAAGCACGTAAAGTATCTGCTTTTGGATTGCTACTACCATTCATTTGCTATCTAACCAGAAAATTTCTTTAGCAATTAGATCCAATGGTCATGAACTCCCTATGCTTTTATCTGGGAAAATCTTTATACTATTTTCATTTTTTAAGGAGTTTACTCAGATATCATATTCTTGGTTGACAAGGGTTTGTTGTTGTTATTGTTGTTGCTGTTGTGTTTTCCTTTTATCAGCATTTTGAAAATACCATCTCATTCCCTCTGGCCTACATGTTTCTGCTGAGAAATCTGCTAGTAGCCTTGTGTGGATTCATTATTATGTAGCGTGGTTTCTCATTTACTATTTTTAAAGGTCTTTTTGCCTTTGGCTATTGACAGTTTGATTATGATATATTTTGATGTGAATATCTTTTTATTCATCTTATTTGTGGTTAGTTGGCTTTTTTTTTTTGAGACAGGGTCTTGCTATGCAGTTAAAGCTGACCTGGAGCTCACTTTGTGGCCTAGGCTGGCCTCAAACTCACATTGATCCTCCTGCCTCAGCCTCCCAAGTGCTGGGATTACAGGAGTGAGCCCACAAACCCAGTTGGCTTTCTGTATCTTGATGTTTACTTTCTTCCCCAGATTTATAAAACTTTCAGCCATTATTTCTTTGAATAAACTTTCTGCTATTTTCCTTTCTCTTCTCTATCTGGGAGGCTGGTGATGTGCATAAGGGTGCATTTGATGGAATCCCTTAAGTCCCTTAAGCATTCTTAATTTTTGTTGTTTTTCTTTTTGGTCCTTTGATTAATTTCTTATTATCAGTCTTTCCTATGGTTAGGTCAATAATTATGTCCTTGTGCTGAACAATTTCTGCTTGGTACTTTTTAAACCATGCTGCCTGTGGACTTGGAGCCAGCCAATCATGTGTTGAAAACTCTAAAAATATGAGCAAATATAAACCTCTCCTTTTAAAAGTTGCAGGAGTCAAGTATTTTGTCCCAGCAAAAGGAGATCTGATTGATATAACCACAGAATTTCAAATAGCAAATATTTACAGATAGGAACAATACCTATAACTCACCAGAACTCAAAGGAGCAGTAAAAAAATTCCAAGGCCCCATAACTGAGAAAGCCACCATTTGGTAAAAAGAACAGTCCTCTAGACTGCATCTCCTTGTCCCCAAATTTACGTAATTCTACTTTCTCAGATTTCCCCTGGACGCAGTTTTTGAGTGGAAGGAAGGAATGAGAAAGTGATTAATCTCCTGACTGGTCTAGGAATCTTCTTCACAAGACACCACTGCAATATCCTTCCTCAGGAAGTCCCAGGAGTGTCAGCTGGGTTGGAATTCTGTGGTCAGTTGGAGATAAAGTGTGGAAGCATACATTACAGTGACAAGCATGCAGATCTTGGTGGTGTGCTTTGTATCAACCAGTGAGGTCATCATGCTGAGGAGACTGGATAGCAAATTCCTGCACAAAAAACATGACCCACCGGTCCTATAGCCCAACCCCTAGCTCACTCTCCCACATAGTTCAAGTACTTTTGTTGAGTCCTCATCTGACCCAGAAGCAACTGTAGATTAGTAATCAAGTCACAGTCCTCCTATTAAAGTCCTCTTATTAAATCTTCCATGACCAGAAAATAATAGCAGGTGAGCAAATTAGTTCCAAAATAGCATTTAAATTCCAGTGCTTATATTATGTCTTCCCCAGACCAATAAACAACTACAGGCCAGCATTTAAATTCTAGAGCAGCATTTAAATTACAATGTTCACTATAAACCTTCCTCACAAGAAAAAGCAACTGCAAACAAGCAATTAAGTTTCAATTTTAAAGATTAAAGGTAATATCATTAAAAATCACCCACAAAAGCTGGGATAGCTATCTGTTCTAATTCCAGGTATCAATGTAAAGAGGTATGGGGGTGCTTTTCATAAAACTAATTTTTTTTTATTTTAAAGATAAAAGGAGGGAAACATTAACAGACATACAACATTTTACAACATATCACAAGCACAATACAGACAATACAGAGTTACAAACAAAGTGGTAGGAAATTAACAATGGTGGTTGTATTACATATTGATATCTTCAAAGTGGCTTCTCATGAAAACAGATATAGACATGCAATACTGGTCAACCAAAGGCTCATTGACAGTTTCTTTCAGCACAGAAATAGAAGACAGAAGAACAACCATGTTATCTATCCTGTATATACATGCATACAAAATAATTTCCCTCCCTTTTCTCCTCCTTCCCTCTCTCTCTCGAAGTTTCCTTCCCATAAGACACAATATTTTAGTAGTTAGCTGGATATCCCTTAACCAGGGTAATTGACAGGTAAAATTAACCATCATAGATATGTGTTATCATAAAAAATTTTGGAAAAGATCTGCAGGCTACTAATGCATTTTGATGGACTTGACTTTGCTATATACTTTTTTCAGGGCATAAGTGTTCCCCTTTATCCATATTCTCACAAGTATCTATTTTACTTTTGAGTGACACATAATGGTGTGCACTTACGGGCTACAATGCGATGTTTCAATACATGTATACATTGGGCTATGGTTAAATTAAGGTAATTAACATATTGTCTTAGTTATTTTTCTCTCATTGCTGAGACAAAATACCTAACACCTAACATTAAGGAAGGAAATGCTCAGTTAGCTCCCAGATTCTGGAGGTTTCAGTCCATAATCAGCTGGCTCCAAGGGAGAGTGGCGCAGCAGAGGAGCAATAGTTCATGGTGGTGGAAGATGGCATAAGCAACAAGAGTGAAAAGGGAGGAGCACGACAGAAGGCTCTTTCTGTCCTTTATATTGTATATAGGGTACCTGCCCTATGGTGGGTGTAGCACTTGCACCCATAATCCCAGCACTAGACAATGAATCACTCATAAACTCTAGAAGCCTGCACATATGACTGTATGAGGCTTTGGGGGGACATCTAAACACAAAGTGTAACACATATCATAACCTGAAAGACTCATCATTTCTTTGCAATGATAACATTTGAAGTACTTCAATCTACTTTGAAAGATGCAATATTGTTGACTATAGTCCTACTACTGTGCAAGAGAATGCTTGATCTTATTACTCTTATCTCTGTCTAGCTTTGTACCATTTTCCTGCTGCTCCTGATTCTTCCCTCCTCACCCGCTGGCCTGGCTCTCTCCAACTTCTTGTAAAAGAGTTCTCAGAGTCATAAGCAAATTAGGCGATGTGGTATTAGCTTTCTGGCTTATTTCACTTAACATTAAATTCTCCAGATGGATCCATATTGCTGAAAAGGATAAGATTTTATTCTTTTTGTGAGTGAATAGCATTCCATTATTCTTACTATCTCTGCAAAATCTTACTTCATTAGAAACCTGAACAGCAGAAATATATATAAAGGAACTATGAGATAAATGAAAAAAAGGGAATCAAATACACATAACACATTTTCTTTACTCATTCAAGTTTTAATAGGCACTTTGATTAATTTCATATCTTGGCTACTGTGAATAATATTGTAGTAGACATTGGAATGTTTTCATTTTTGAGGTGCTGATCTACTTTGAATATATACCCAGTAGAGATATGCTATGACAGTTCTATTTTAAATTTTTTGAGGGACCTCCATAGCGTTTTCCATGGCGGCCATACTAATACACATTTCCACTAACCATGTGTAAGGGTTTCCTTTTCTTTAGATCCTTGTGAATACTGGTTATTTTTTGTCTTTTTTTGATAACTATTACTCTAATTGTAGTGAGGTGGTATTTCATTGCAAATTTCTTTTGCATTTGTCTAACTACTAATGATAACAAAAAATTTTCGCATAAAATGCACTTCATTGTACAAAAGAGAGAAGAAATTAGCTAGTTGCTGAATGTGAGGGAAAAACACACCATAATAAAATGATGCTGAGAAAGATATTTCTTATAGTTAAGTCAATAAAGATTTCTTGGTAAAAAATGTAAGTTTTTCTTTTGGACAATGGAAAGTGAATTTCTGAGAATAAGTATCAGAAATCCATGGTGGAAAGAGAATTTTTTTTCCCAAATAATATTAAAAGAGGCAGACAAAGATTGTAATAAAAACAAGACTGGTAGCTCTTTGTATTTTAGTTTGTTTTCACGCTACTGTTAATGAACAGGATTTGTTAATTCTCTTGTGGCAATGTCAATCCTATTACATGCACAGAGCTATTTCTGCATAGGTCATCAATATCTAGGGATTTTAAATCGGAGCTTAAACTTGTCTATGTTCAAAAGGAGTTCAGTAATCAGGGATTTTCACTCACAGGACATCACCAAGGACACCAGGCAAAGAGAGCTAAACAGTAAGTCTACAAGTAGTCTTTTCTGATAATTTTAAAAATTTTACCTTGGGGGGGAAAATAATAATTTCAGTGTTTTGTATTCAGTGTATGTGTTCTTTTAAAATATTCCAAAGTAACATAAAGTATTGATTTTTCTATATAAAGACAATTACATATTGTATTTACTCTTAAAGTGATTTGTACTAGTCATCTCTACTGATAAAAATTCACAGTACTTTTGAGTTTGATATTCTAGGCAGCTAAAATAACACCATAAATACAGCTTCAGTTTGAAATTTTAAATTATTCAGTCCTCACTTTGAATGAAAAGAGAAATGAAGAGAAGAAATGATTCCTTATACTTTATGTTCGTGAATCGGTTCCCAAGGTTTGAAAGGTAGTATTGCATTCTCTGAATTGGGTACCTAACTAATTATGTGTTTAGGGGCTCTTCACTTAATAGTACATTTTTAGGTTGTTATTTTCTTTTTTAAACCTTAAAGTGGAAAAAGTAATGTCTTTCAAATGACTACATTAGTCATTTGATGAGACACAAATGAAGTTTTCAGAGAAACGGAATATTGAGTGTGTTGATATTTGTCAAATTGGGTGAAAATTTTTCAATTATTTTTTCTTCTATTTCCCTAGCATGAAATTGATTATTACCAATAAATTTTAGTTTGCCTCATGAAAATGAGTATAGTATGGTTTCCCCATTGTTTTGCAATAATGTTATTTTATTAACTACAAAAATAACTGTAGAATCCATTTAAGAGAGAAGGCTCTTTCTGTCCTTTATATTGTATTTTTGCTCATTATACATGCTACTTAGAATCACCGAACGTTAAAACTAGAAAAAAAAAAAAACTTAGAGATTATCTATTGATCATGACAAGATTAGCCAAAACACTATGCTGATAAACTGGATTTGATATTATATGTTATTTTCAGAATATATGTGAATTATTTTTATGTAATTATTAATGATAATATTTGTAATGCAATTCAATCAGTATGTGCTGGATTAAGTGTATTGACGAGAGAAAGAGGTACTTAGAAATGAAAGATACCTGCTGTAAATTTCCTGCAAGATTCTGACACTAGTATATTCTCCAGAACAAGTTAGAGAATATCTAGATGTAATTAAGAATAAACATGGATAGGTTGATGTGTCATACGAGTAACAATCCAATTATAATTTTGAAGGCTCATATTTTCCCAGATAAAATTTTTTTATTGATGATACAGGATGGCAGTTTAAAACTTGCTACTTTCTATGTATCTCTGACATGTAATTTGCTTAAATGGCTTTCTACATCTTCCATCTGTCCACTCTCATTTGTTGAAAAAAACAAAAAACTATTTGAGTAGCACAAGAGCTAAAAAAATTACATATTCTCTGCAATGTCTTACAACAAAGTATCTATCATAGTTCTTCAATCAAAGATGTCATGAGCTTTAGCTAAATTCAGGGGGGAAGTATAATATAAATTAAGCATATTTGTAACAGTATCAAGGTGTGTGCTTTATATGTAAATGGGAGGAAAATAACATTTACCAGGTGCTAATAATCTACATAGCTTTTTTAAGAATTCATTTTAGTCATTTTTAGAACTAAGTCCTGTATTCCACTAATGATTCTGGGAGTTTATTTTTAAAGAAAACTTTTATTATGATATGCAAAAATGTAAAAGTTAGGCTGTGGCAGGAGGATCGTTGTGAGTTCGAGGCCAGCCTGGGCTACAAAGTGAGCTCAAGGCCAGCCTGAACTGTATAGTGAGACCCTGTCTCAAAAAAAAAAAAAAGATGTAAAAGTTGATCTATCCCAAAATTAATAGCTAGAATACCTCAAAGTATCAATAGGAATCCTGAGTGTTCTTACTATCTCTGCAAAATCTTACTTCATTAGAAACCTGAACAGCAGAAATATATATAAAGGAACTATGAGACAAATGAAAAAAAGGGAATCAAATAGAAAAATCACTTAACAATTTGCAAAGTCATGAGTGGGGAAGTCAATTCTTTGGAAAACAAGTATGTTACATTCAAAGTAAGTCATCATTTCCATGTCCCATTTAGGCAAACATGTTCAGAAAATCTTTTTAATATTATTTTCAAGCAATTTCCTGTGTGTTTTATTAGCCTGAATTTCATAACTCCAAATATACCTCCATTTGGATTTTGTATGTTCTTAAAAAACTTGTGGCAAATAGTCCTTTATAAAAAGTAAATCAAAGTACTATAATAAAGAATTTCAGTCAGGAAATAGGAAACTATAAAACAATACATATGTAACTATGTATATATACACTTACTATTTGAGTGACAGAGGAAATTAGATATATGCAGTGCATATATGCATTGATTCCTAAATTAAATTCAGATTAGGTGGACTAGATGTAATATTAATTCTAAATATTTGACTTCAGTATTTTACATTTTATTTACTGATTTTCTTTTTTTTTTTTTTGGTTTTTCTCTGGTACCGGGAACCGAACTCACGACCTTGCGCTTGCCAGGCAGGCGCTTTTGCCGCTGAGCTAAATCCCCAGCCCCTATTTACTGATTTTCAAAACTAGTCTTCACTCAAAACCTATTAAGTGCCTCGTACTAAATACTACACATAATTTCTCATGTAATCCTTATATAACCTTTCCAAGTAGACACTATTACTACTCCCAGTTTACAAATAAAAAACTGAAGCACAGAGTTTTAGTTTTTTTAACTAGTTTTTAAAATCTAGTTCTGCCCAAGCTCATGGTAGGCAGAACTAGATTTGAAACCAAGTGTCTAAGTGCTAATCATGATGCTATCACTTGGAGGCATGCAAATACATAGTCTCTATCCACAAGAAGTACAGTTCCTTTGAGATTAATATAAATAAATCTATTAAGGAGTAATGTAAGATATGAATAGATATAACACATAAAGTCTCCTCTATATTGATATTAACATAAGGGCACATCACTCTTAGAATCTCTCATACTTAAAGCCAATAGAGAGAAGGGGTTACAAAAGAAGAAAGTATGACTTGGGTGAGATAACTAGATCCATCTTTATGATTTGAAAAACATGGAGGTCTCTACCAGCCCAGAAATAATCCCATCACCTGACGTGGTATTATCATATATATAGATGACATGAAATTTCTACAGCTGATAACTTATTTTTTTATTTTATTTTATTTTAAAAATAAAAGGAGGAAAACATTAACAGACATTTTACAAAATAGCAAAAGAACAGTACAGACAATACAGAGTTACAAACAAAGTGGTAGGAAATTAACAATGCTTCTTGTGTTACATATTGATATCTTCAAAGTGGTTTCTCATGAAAACAGATAGAGACACGCAATATTGATCAACCAAGGACTCATTGACAGTTTCTTTCAGCAAAGAAATAGAAGACAGTGCCCCAACACACATATGAAATGCCAGGACAGGTCCTTTGACAAAAGGCTTTGGTTGATTTGAACATGGAATCTTTATTTGTCTTTCATAAAACATTCATTAACATCATAGTTGGGGAAATGCTAAATCAGTATTTCATATGGACCTAGATCTGTGACAAGTCATGCAATACTGTGAATAATGATCTTGAAGCTTCTGTTTAAAGAAGAAACACGGAAGTTGAGCTCAATTTAACAATTGCAAATTGTGCTGCTATGAACATAGGTGCACATATATCGGTGTGATATGATGTTTTTAGATCTTCTGGGAAAATACCGATAATTTATTTTAATACAAAAGAAAAAGAAGAACTGCTTTCTATAGGAGTCCAGTACAACACTGGGGAATATACTCATGACAAGGGTTGAAACATTTACATTAGCATATTTGTATTGGTGAGCACATTAACCCGGCTTAGTTGATCAGTTCACATTCACCTTGGAAGCACCACGAACACAGAGACCTAAGGAGATGGATGGTTAGAGGTGAGAAACTGTAGAACACGCATGTCTGCAAAGGTAAGTAACCTACAGGGTGACATCTGTATGGAGCACAGATCAGGACATAGAATCTTGCTTTCTAACAGCAGTGAAGGTGAAGTCTGATGGTACTGAATTAGCCTGTGGAATAGTTTTGTTGGTGTCAGCTGTCTCACAATGCAGTATGTTTCTGATTCTACTACAGTTAGTTTATTAACACTAATATCTTCCATGGAACATAAGAATAACTCAGGAACTGACCAAGGAAATAATAGGCATCTGTATCATATAACATAAAGGAGAATCCTGGTCTATATTTTTGTGAGACAGTGGCATCCCAGGAATACGGCTCCAGAAGCAGAAAAATAACTAGTGAAGAGTAGAAATAATAATTAGTTCCACATAAGCTTCATTTCCCAAACTGAAATTCTTATAGGGTAAGTCAGGAACCCTGAAAAATCAGGAGGCTTCCAAGTTTTAGCAATTAAAGAAAGAGCGCAGCTGTGGAGGCCCAGAGCACAGAAATAGTGGCCAACATCTACGTAGTTTAAATTATTCTTCAAAGACAGAGCCAGGAATGGCAACCCCCACAGCCCCACCCACACACATTAAGTTCCTATGATGAAGTTCTAAACACTCATGTGATATATTTGGAGATAAGATCTTTACAGAAGTTATTAAGCCTAAATGAGGCCATAAGGATGTAGCCCTGATCATACAGGATTAGTGTACTTACAAGAAGAGACGCCAAGGAGCTTGTTCTCTCCTGCATGTGAGAACACAATTAGAAGGTGGCTGTCTGCAAGCCAGGAAGAGAGCTATCACCAGAAACTGACCTAGCTGGGTCTTGATCTACAATGTGAGAAAACAAATTTCTGTTGTTTAAGCCACAAAGTCTGTAGTATTTCATTACAGTCACCAAAACAGACACCAGACAACTGTGTCTAGTTGTGATTTTTGTTACATAAAAAAATAGCAGAAAGTTTGAAAGACTAAGTGTATATTTTCAAAGATACGCCACATGCTAAGGATATCTTAGTATAAAACTTGGGCTAGACAAAACACACCGATGAAACAACCTTAATTTTAGAAATTCCTATTAAAGATTTCTGAAGCTATAGAACTGTTATTTCAATTACATTTAAAAAAATAAAGTACCATTCTTTGGAGTTCAGAGTTAACTCTCTTAAATGGTTGATATAAGTCCATAAATGAAATATCTCACCTCATGTACAAATCTCCACACAAATCTTACAGTGTAATATTTCCAACTTCTGCCACACATGCAAAAGCAGTTCTATAAGAACATTTCCTTATTTTATTGTTATGCATAATTAATGTATATTTATTACATTTGTTTTTGTAAATAGAGACACAGAAATGATGATAAACTCTCCATCAATTCATATGACTAGCAAGAACCAACTGCAGACAAAGCCATTTTGTATTTTATATTGACTTCTAAGAGTCACTATAATTCATTTGGAATTAACTGAAATAAAAACATTTCTCTGTTATATTCAGAATAAAGTAAAGAGGTTTAATCTACAACAGAAATATATCATTCAAACAAGTACCATCTCTAGGTATTTAGGGACATGGTGACTTGTTATTTTCCATGGCATCATAATGGTTTTACTGTATATGAAAAAAAAATTAAATTGGTTTGTTTCATCAATGCATTCATTCATTAAGCATTTTATTGAAAAGCCAATGGTGTAGTAGAAAAATAAGGATTTTGGAGGTTTGAAGGGTCAGAGATTTAGGAGTTGGCTCTATCTGCCTATATATGTCAGTTATTTTATCTTTAAAATAGCAAGTTACTTTGTCTTTAAGACCCTGACAGCACTAAAAAACAAGGAAAATGGTTATGTAAGATTTTAAAATAATGTGTATAAATAAAGTACCTACCACATAGTTGCTCTTGAAAACTACTGCTGGTGTCATTTATGAAATACTTAATGATATTTAATGTGATACAATTATAAGAAGACAGCAAGTAGAAATCTGTCCTCAGAGAACTTATCGTAGTGGAGAAAACCATATAACAGCATAACCAAAAATTATTGTACATGCTAGGACAGAAGTCAGTCTATGGTACAGTGGAGAGCTGATCTCACTATTTGAAAATCTAATAAAATACAACAGAGGTCTTCACAACAAAGCACTTGTTTAGGAACACTGAGTCTACAAATCAAATCTAAACTAGATACTGTAATTAGACTACATCGGTAAATTTGACATATTAACAATTGTCATCACAGCATGATGTGAACAAAGGTGATGACAATGAAATTGTCACTAGCACATGTGACACAAGGACAAGCAGGCTCATTTATGTTCATCTCATTTTATTTCTTGATAATTACTGTACCATATTTGGAAGTATTTTAAGGATAAAGTTTGAGAATGTTATCACACATAAGCCATTATTTTAATTAGCATTAAAAAAACAAAAAAAAGTTACAGTCCTAAATGAAGAGCAACATAAAACCCTAACTTGGGAGAATTGTATTTTAAACTATATTTCTGGCCCAAATTACCTTTATACATTTTTTTTCTGAAAAGTTTGCTAATACCCTTTTAAATAAATAATACTCTTTCAAAAGTCATCCAATTATAATTTTACATAATGCTTATTTTATTCATCAAAACTAAAATGTCTGTTATTATTTTAATTAATTAAAACTTGTCTAAAATAAAAAAGGAAACTCACAGATTTTAATCATTGTGTAAGATGGAAGATATAGTAACTCTTTTGAACAACAGTAAATTCTGGTGAAGGTGACAGCTTTTTCCTTATAAAATTTTTATTAGTAATGTTTACAGTACATAGTAATTACATTTATCGCGGGGAGTTGTCCATAGCACCTCTGAATTCTTCTTGCACTCACTCCCTCCTCTCCCCTGCCCTTCCCCATCCTCCCTTTCTCTTCCCATCATCTCTAGGTCCCCTTCGCATTTGCAAAAGATCTGTCTCCCTGTTTTCTATTATCTGTCTTTTCTTTTGCTCTTTGATTTATTTCTACTTTGGGTTTCTCATAGAAGAGGAACTGTGCAATATTTAAACTTGTGTGTCTGGTGTATTTCTCCCAACATTATGATCCCAGGGTGCATCCTTTTTTCTATAAATGGCTCAAGTTTATCCTGTATAACAGAGTAATACTCCATTGTACATAAACACTACATTTTCTTTATAAATTCATCTGTTAGTGGACATACAGGCCACTTCCAAGATTTAGCTATTAGGAATTGCTTGGTAGAAGTTTGTCCTATGTTCTTGCCTTTATCATCAATTTCCAATCACACAGAGATACTATCACCTAAGTCTGTAATAATCCTATTCTTATGTTAAATTCTTTAAACTAAAGCAGAATTGGAAGTTTTGGGCACTAATCATATCATTACAGGCCAAATGTTGATTTTAAAATTACAGATACATTGTGTACACATATATAAAAGTTATTTTTAAAAAAATTTTCTCCAACAGACATGTAAAACACTATATGCAAGGAATTAAGCACTTTATACATACTAATTCAATTATTTTTAATAGTTTTCATCCTATAGATTCTGTCAAATTCATTTCCTAAAATGGAAGAAGCCAAAAGCCAAAGTTTGGAGGAAGATTTTGAAGGACAGGCCACACATACAGGTAAGTAAAGCTAGAAGAAAAAATAGTTATAAAATTAAGATTCAATCTAGATATACCGAATGCTCTTACTGGTGATATTTATTATCGAGCTTAAGTGACATCTTCACAGGTAAGATACAATAATCTGAAACATACTTGAGTGTGTAAATTAATTAACTAAAATTGAAATAATTCATAGAACAGTTTAATCTTAATGTCAAAGGGTGAGAAAAAGCAATAATAAGAAGAACAACAATAATAATTATTGATAACTTCTTCCTAGCCAACTATAAATCTGCCTATTCATCTATTTATCTATCCATCTATCTATGATATAAATAAGCCATTTACACTCTCCCCAACCAATAAACTTTTTCAATACACTGTAAAAACCATAGACCAAAAGTAAATAAGTATTTTATTTTTTAATCTGAAAAAACAAAAAGAATAATAAAATTTTCCTCCAAAATAATCTAAAACTTCATTTCATCTAGTGCCTATTCTCTTAATCTGTTAAACTGTAGGTGGCTTTCTATATTCTGCTGAGAGTCTAAGAGTTAAATACCATGATTTAAATTTTAAAACTCAAATTTCTTTTAATGCTGTTGAAGCTCATTTGACTAGTAATTCCTTGTATCTTTTGGATACAAGCAACTGGATTGAAGGCTTTAAATTTAACCCAGACGATTAACTAATTTCACACTAGTATTAAACAAAATACATGACAATTCATTGAAAATGGCCATGTGATGAACATCTAAGTATGACTTAAAATTTAAAAAAAAAGAAAAATTGATAAAAATCAGTGGAAGGAGGAAAAAAGAGAAAAAAAGGAGAAAAAAAATAAGGACAAGGGGAATGAAAAAGAAAGGAAATATCTGCTGTCTGATAAAAGTTACCAAGAGCACCTTTTTAAAAGAACAACAAAAAAATCAACAAATTGCACAAACATTTGCAAATCTATAGACAAAGGGCTCATGTCTTATATTAAAAGCTCCTACAGATTAATAAGGAAAAATCAACACTCAAACAAGATAAAGGGCAAAGATTAAATGATCTATTTACCTCGGGGATAAGGTGAGGTGTAAAAAAAAGACATAAAGTTAGAACTTTGGTAAAATGTATTTCTTTCTCACACATTTCAAAGGGGTAAAAATGTTCAATAATATGTTTTTGGAATCAGACATGCTCACACACAGCTGACAGGAGGGTACATTGGTACAAACTCTGCAGGCTCAGCCTAACAACATCAAAATTAGAATTTTCTCTTTTTCTTTTTTAAAAGAGAATAAAAAATAATAAAAACATTAGAACAATACAGAGTTTCACTAAACAAGACAAGAGGAATTCAACAATGCTTCTATATTGCATATTGTTGTCTTCAAATTAGTTGTTTAGATTGCCATATATAAGTATGCAAAATTGGTGAAAAAAGTTAAAAAGAAAAAAATGCAAGCATTAACTGTTCCTTGCAATAAACCAACATATATTAGTAGTACAATTATCCTAGCTATCTTGTGTATACATATACATATTTTTTCCTCTTTCTTCTTTCCTTTTCCTCTCCCCTCCTTCATCCCAGTTACTCCTTCCTATTTGAGCAGTTTCTTTTCCCTTTCACAATATCTATTGTACCTTCCAGATTTTATTTACTCTTTCATATTCTTACACTAGGGAGACAATAAGATGTTTACACATGTGGATCTGATTTACTTCATTTATGAAATGCAAATTAAAACAACACTGAGATTCCATCTCACCCCAGGAAGAATGGCTATGTCGAGAAAGCAACCAATGACAAATGCTGGAGGGGCTGTGGGGGGAAACGAACGCTCCTCCACTGCTGGTGGGAGTGTAGACTAGTGCAATCACTGTGGAAATCAGTGTGGAGATTCCTCAAAAAACTAGAATTAGAGGTCCCATTCAACTCAGCTATTTCCCTTTTGGGTATTTTTCCAGAAGAACTGAAAACATCATACCACAGTGATGTAGGTGCATTCATGTTTACAGCCAAGCAATTTGTCATAGCTAAATTTTGGAAACAACCTAAATGCTAATCAATTGAGGAATGGATAAAAAAGATGTGGTATTTTTATATTATGGAGTATTATTCAGCTATAAAAAAGATAAACTCATCTTTTATAGGTAAATGCATGCAATTAAAATTAGAATTTTAAACACTTTTTGACTAAACAATTTTATTTATATAACCATTACGCACAACTGTGCAGACAGGAAAATATATGTGCAAAGCTCTTCGTTCAGCCTCATATGTCACATAAAAATATGGAAACAATAATGCACAATTGTAAGAAACTGTTAAATTATGTATGTCTCAACAATAGACTACTATGCCTCCATTTTTTTAAACAAAGAAGAGCCTTCCAACGAATATGAAAAATATCTCCAAGGTATATTATGAAGAGCAAATATGGTAAGGAAAAGTGTGTCTTATAGCCAACCAGCTGAAGAAAACAAAAGGAAAAATATTTTCTTTTTTACCCACATACATATTTTGTAGATGCACAAAATATCTGGAAGACTGCACAAGAAAATAAAAAGCATTGATTGACTAAACATAATTAATATAAAGATGACAAATGTATCTTAAATGTATAGTTCATATATTATATAAATTATTAGACAATATGAGGAAGAAAATGTACATTGGTTGCAGGCTTCCCATCACTGACACACAATACCCTGCCCACCGTTTGAAGAAGGACAAGTTCAATGTAGCTCATGGTTTTTTGAGATTCAGCATATGATTGGCTAGCTCCCAGGTAGAAACAGCATGATGGCAGGGCACAGTAGAGCACAGCCGCTGAGTTTCTGGCTGCAAAGAAGCGTACCAGGGGGAGCAGTGCCACAGCAGAAGGGTGTGGGGCCACACCTAGACCTCAAGGCCATGCCTCTGACTCACCAGATGTACTGCTCCACCGATCTTCCAAGCAGATCTCAAAGTCAGTCAGGTGAAACTCCACCTTAACTGCCGAATTATAGAATGTAATATTGAAAGTGTGGAGAGACTAAGCTTTGGCTAAAGATCTTCAGTTTAATATTACATGTTTTCAAGAATTTAAGATGTTCTTCTAAACACTTTTATTTGTCAGAGTAACTGAGTAGTTTCCAGTTGGATCATCTTTGATTTCACTATTTAACTGTAATTTTTCTTAACTATGTAAAATTTATCCTTTCTGTAGGTATGAAAGATTCTTAGAATCTGAGATGGAATTGGACAGATATGGAATTATTTTCTTAAAGCCATTTTAGTCTTGTTAATTGAGGTCAGGCCTTTTCATTGCCTGTCTTTTATGTGCTACTGTCATGATTGCTTCCCCAACAATTCTAGTTTCCTTTATTAATAGTATAACACCAATGCTAGTTTATTGATAAGTTTCTTATCTAGTGAAAGTGCTACTTTTACTAATTCTAGTTTTTTCCATGTATTCTAATTTTAATGTCTTTACCTCAAACCTTTGCTACTAGCTCAAAGTGCATAATATATATTTTAATTAATGCAAATGTTTAAGACAGATTCATTGCCAAAACCCATTGAACAAGGTTAATCTGAGAGAAAAATTTTATAAGGAGAACAGTAAGGAATTTCTAGTCCAAATAAAATGTTTGTTTCTTATGCAGGAGATGACAAGTATACTCTCATGGCAATACTTACACAAATTTCAATTTGCAAAAAGCTCTTCTGGAAATAAAAACAGAAACAATTTTTAAAATTTATTCCAGGGCCCAAAGGTGTAATAAATGATTGGAGAAAGTTTAAACTAGAAAGTGAAGATGGTGAATCAGTCCCACCTAGTAAGAAGGAGATCCTCAGGAAAATGTCTTCTCAAAGTAGAGATGACAAAGATTCAAGAGTCCACAGAAAGGTAAGACAAGCAAAAAATTAGCAATGGATAATTTACAATATGTTTTCTAGTCTAAGTCACTCTAAATCTGTAAACTACATTACAATATTATCAAATAACCTGTGATGGTACATGCTTGTAATCCCACAACTCTGAGAGTTTGAGGCAGAAAGATCACAAGTTTCAGCCATTCTAGGCAATTTAACTATTTACCAAGACACTATCTCAAAATGAACAGTAAAAAAGCATTGGAAATGTACTCAGTATGAAGATCCTAGGTTTGATCCCAAGTACTATAAAAAAAGAAAGAAATACAAAATATATTTATTGCAGTATAGTTTATACTGGCAAAGAAAAGTGGAACTGAATGAATACCTATAAGGTATCCTGTACTAAGTAAAACACGCATTTTGAAGGAACAAGTTACAAATATATGAATTGACTTAGGAACATTTTCACAATGTGAGAAAGCAAAATACAGAGAATTTTAAATTAGATAAATGATTCTATGTTCCAGAGCAGTAAAAAGGACATTTCTGTTTATTTGTATGCTTACATGGTCATAATCAAATGAGTTTGCATATAGAAAAGGAGAGAGACATAAGTTGACAATATTAGTAATTTGAAAAGAGGAGACTGGTTGGAAAAAGAAAAAGAAGAAGGTAGTCAGAAAAAATTCCTACTTAAAAAAGATACTTATACTTTTCTTAAAAAGTATTATTTTTTAAAAAGATCTTTTATTTAAATTGTATAATGTCTATGTCATCTCTAAAATATTAAAGAAAATTATTTGAATATTAAAGTGGTGGGATTTCAGTATTTATTATTTCCTTTCTTTAGCTTTTAGGTCATTTTTGAATCATAATTAGCATTTATTATGTAACAAAAATAATAATGAAAACCATAAAGTGATTCTTATTTGTGGAGAAAAAAATCACTTTAATGGATTATTTATCCACAAATCAATGTATATGTACCATATACTGAGTCTCAACAGACAGATAATAAAATCAGAAATATGCCATAGTCCAAGGCTTCTGGTCATGGTAATGATCTTGAAGTCTAAGATTTCTGGTGGGTGGAGGGACAGAGGTTGATTCCTTTACTTACTCGCTATGCAATGTGGGTGACACAATTAAATTTTCCATTTGAGAAATTGTAAGAACTCGTCTTCCACTTGTTTGGAACAAATGTGAAGAAAACAAAATAAACATGGAAGTGTTTTGAACTATAAAATACTATATACATGTGAGATATTATTATTAAAGATTTTGTGCTAAGGGCAAGTTCTAGAAATGTATCTGGATGCCCAAGTATCTAAATATTCACCTGAATATGTCAAGGGAACAAGTTCTCATATGAATGCTCAAATATATTTTCAAATCAGTATTTGTGTGTTCCTCTTACTAAATTAACAGACTATGGTAGCAACTTAAGGATTATACAAAACATATAACTTTTAGGGTTAAAGTAAATAAAATTGGGACAATAATATTAAGAGAAAATATAGGCTATGAAAAAAAGAGGGGAACAAACATGATGCAGAAACAGGAAAATAATAAAAACATTAAGTATGTGTACTTAAACTGAACCTCAGTATCTTTTTATGGAAATGACACTAATGTACCTGTCTCAGAGGTTTGTTGTGAAGATTAAGTAATATAATCTATGTAAAATGCTTGACATAATAGATTTTCCATAAATTAGTTTCTTACGGTTTTTTTTTCCTCCACTTTAAAAATTGCTGCTATTTGAGTGGTTACATAACCATAAGACAGCAACAGATGTGTCCCATTTCGATTTCCACGGTTGTAGGGTGCTCCATATATAATAGTGTTTCATATGGCAAATGTTCCAGTGTTCCTTTGTTGTGTGTTTTGCTTTGTTTTCACTTGAGGGGATGTTAAACATTTTACTCACTACATTAATAATAGAGTAGACATTATAAAGGGTGATAATTTTACATTTTAATCACAATTAAAAGTAGCAGTCTTGGAAGATGGAATTTAGGTCCTTCCTTATGACAGTTTAAACCAATGGGTAAGAATAACCTAGGGGGCTTTTGAAAACCTGGATTACTCAGCCTTTACAGGCTCTGATTCAGCATCTGGTGGTGCCTAAAAATCTGTATATCCAACAAGTTTTCAGGCAGTGATGCTGCTGCTCCAGACATTTTTAGCCATTGTGAACTCTAAATAGTAGTGAATATGTCTTATTTAAATTCCATCCTACATATTTAAAAAAGTAAGCTATAAGATCTTAATACTTTTATGGAGGGAACACTAATGTCTAGAGGCATTTGTCAGGAACACATGTAAGCGTGTATGTGTGTGTGTGTGTGTGTGTGTGTGTGTGTGCTTAGTATTTTTTTTTTTCCTTTTTGATGAAAGCCACTCTAGAACAGAATCTTGCTGGATTTTTCTCATCAAAGTGGAGTTGTTAAATAGCATATTCCTGACTGAGATTATGAGCCTTTTGTTCAGCTGCTTTCAGGAATAGTTCTTTGTGCATTTAACCATGAAATAATATTTGAATTCCTACTATGTACCATGTATAAAGCAAATGTTGAGAATGAGTGAATGGAACAAAATTCTTGCCACAACTGAACATGTTAGCTAGAAAAATTCATATTAAGCAATCAAATACATAATGTAAGTACAGTTTATATTTATTGCTACAAAAAACACTATATGGAATGGAGAGTGTCGATTGAAGGTTTCTTTTAAATAATCAAAGAAGATGACATTTGAACAAACAGTTGAATGGAGTGGGAAGAAAAGCTGTATCAGGAGTGGGGAGGTGGTGGTAAGGGCAGACAGAAAAACAAACTCCTAGAACTGAGAAGAGGTTTGTTGTATCTAAGAAACACATACTTCTGACTGAATGACCACTACAACTCCTTTCATACATTCTCAGATAAGCATACAAGAATATGAACTTATCAATCAAGACAAAGAAGATGAAAACTGTCTTCGCAAATATCGGAGGCAGTGCATGCAAGATATGCATCAGAAGCTGAGCTTCGGGCCTAGGTACGGGTTTCTGTATGAGCTGGAAACCGGGGAGCAATTCTTAGAAACGATTGAGAAGGAGCAGAAGATCACCACGATTGTTGTTCACATTTATGAAGATGGCATTAAGGGCTGTGATGCCCTAAACAGTAGTTTAACATGTCTTGCAGCAGAATACCCTATGGTCAAATTTTGTAAAATAAAAGCTTCCAATACAGGTGCTGGAGACCGCTTTTCCTTAAAGGTGCTTCCCACACTGCTTGTCTACAAAGGTGGGGAACTTATAAGCAATTTTATTAGTGTTGCCGAGCAGTTTGCTGAAGAATTTTTTGCTGGGGATGTGGAGTCTTTCCTAAATGAATATGGATTACTACCAGAGAGAGAGATACATGCCACAGAGGATACCAACATGGAAGAAGATATGGAGTAAAGAGTCACTAGATTGGTATCTCATATTTATCCTTTGCACACTGAACACTGAATTTGGTAGTATCCATATTCCTTTAGAGAATATTAAATACAGACATGGGTATTGTAATTTTGAAAAAAATTGACACCAAAGTTGTGTTTTTAGCATTAGTTATTCAAATTCATAGAATGCTTTACTACAAAAGCACTGTAGGGTTTAGCAGTATCACTAATAAACAGAGAGGATGTAGATAATACCTGTATATTGCTTTTCGAAATCCCTTCCAAGTTATGTTATTTTTTTATTTCTTGCCTTTTTCCTGCTGTTATTTTATTTGTCCCTTTCAAACTAGGTTATTCATTGTAAGTTTGCTTCTGTAACAAGAATAAAATATGAGAAAATAAGTTTTATATATGAAGTCTAATGTTGCTTTAATCTTACATTATCAAGCTCTTGAATACTTTATAAGGCTCACAATACAAAAAAGTTTTCATTCAATAAAATATCTTGTATTCCAATCATCATCAATAAAAAGGAAATTTAGAAACATTTACATTGTAAAAAAAGTTACATGTACTAAAAGGGCAGGACGGAAGCAAGGTCTTAGTCTTTGGATGAAAGAATAATATTTAGTAGCAATAATAATTCCATTTGTCATTTATCGATTGCCAATTATTAGCTGGTATTTTACATGCAGCTCGTCTACTTAATAACCATATATCTGCATGTAGATGGTGTAATTCTTATTTTTAAAACAATGAAGCTGATTCAGAGAAATGAAGTACAAGTTCTATACTTACTTCCTTTGCAAACGTATAGAAGTCTGTTCTCCTAGACAAACACATAGAAGTACAAAATAAAGTATAATTTTTCAAATGTTTTTGAATGCACAAATTATCTAAAAAAAAAAAAAAAAGAAAAAGAAATTTGTAGGTGTGCAAATCAGAGCAGAAACATACTGGTCAGTGAGAGCTGAAGCAACATGACCCACAACTGAAGACGTGGTGCTTGACAAATACCCAGAAATGGAGTCCCTGGGAGATGTGTGTTTAAAGCAGGTTGGCACATTTCTCCCTGGCAACCTAATGCTGAAATCAGACATGCGCCATGGGTTTTAGTCTCCATTCTTTTAAATGACTGTTTTACAGCTTTTGTTCCTTCCATGAGCCTTTTTACCCCTCCCATTCCAAACATTTCATCTTGCTCAAAATTCATTGAAAAAATTGAAGTTACCAGATGAGACCTACCCCACATTTTCATCACCAGGTTAAAATGGGCAGGTAAATAATGTGTCTACTGAGGGTATGATGAAGTGTCTGTGCAGCTATCCACTTCCAACTGATCAAGCTGTCTGTGGGTCCTATCCTTTCACCTATGCAGTATTTTTTTTTTTAAGTTATTCTCTTTCTCTCTGCATCATTTATTTTTCCTTTTATGTTCTATTACTTACATTGTCTTATAAGTGAGTTTTTAAAATTCCCCACCATTTAAAATGTCCTCACTTATAGTGTAAAATTTCCAGCTACCACTCATTTCTCTGATTTTCTCTATAATAATGCATGTCAAAAGAGATATCTAAAGTCACCATATTTACCCCTCATTTCCCATTTTTTTCATCCCATGCCTATCAGGTTTTTGTCCCTAGCACTTTAATTTTAATTATAATTATAATCTTGTCAATCTTCATGGCTAAATCTTTTTTTAAAAAAAAAATAGGATCTTAGTATATATTTCAGGCTGCCCTGAATTCATTGCAATCTTTCTGCTTCAGCCTCCCAAGTGCAGGAATTAAGGCATACATCACCACACCCTGTCTCAATGGCTAATTCTTATTCCTGATTTTATTCAGTCTTCCATTAGCATGTGCCAAGAGTCCACTACCTCCTGCCCTACTGAGTCTCTTCTGGCTTTGACCACACACTGTCTGTTTGCTTACCATGCTAATGACTGTTCTTCAATGTGTGTCACTAGCTTCTTCAAACCCTCACTCTAGGAAACCTCCTCCAGCCCTTAATCTTAACTATCCCTCAAGTTCAGTCCACATTCAAATCTAGCTTTATATCCTTTCTGGGATCCAAAATTGTGTATTTTGACTGAAGGTATGGATAAAAGGAGTAAAGGAACAATGAGAAGGAAAAAGAAGATCTGCCATTTGTACTATGTGTTAGTGATACTGAGATGGGTAAGATAGATTTTTTTACTTGGACTAAATCACAATAATCAGTCACTCACACATTATTAATGTTTTTGTACATGTATCTAAAATCCTAAATCTTTATTTCTGTTTATAAACTTGGAACTGTGTTTAAATACTCTATGGCCTATTTCTAAGTTGATGAGTAATAAGCATATCACAGGGAGAAAAAGTGCTAGGAGGAAGGCATGCAGGATAATTATGTAAGAAGCTTTCAAAAATAGTTCAGCATGTTTTCTCCTATCAAGCAAAGGCTAGCAAATGTATTAATGCCAGTTCTCTACCAAGGAATTACTAGGCTTCAAACCTAAGGAAAATATTGAATCCCTCCATAACATATCTATAATTCAAAATTTCCTTACTATAAGAGCTCTTTAGATTGACACTAATTCCATGGACTAGAAGTACTTAAAGAATGGTGGCAAGCCAGTGAATAAGGATGGCCAAATAGCTCAAAAGAAAACACTATTAACAAAATAAAACATAAATTCTTTTCAATCACTAGTCAGTGTTAACTGCAGTATAATGCTATGTCGCAGGCTAAAGGCAGAAAAGAAAAGCTAAACGCTGAAAAGAAACTCATCGATGTAAAACATAAAACAGATAAAAAACGAATGCTTTGCAAGATTCCTGTTCAAAGAAAGCTTTATTTTTGTGTGAAATGATCCGCCATACTTTAATTTAGAATAGAGAGCTAGCAAGCTTAAGCAAGACCCAGCCAGGGAATGTATTTAACCCATAATTGGCAAAACAAAAGTAACTAGGTGGCACCTGCATAGACAGGGAGTGATGATAGCAACCATTCGCAAAATAAGCCCTCAGTGACTAAGGGCTGTCAGGGTGAAGCTTTGATGGAAACACTCATCAGGAAGAGCTGCACAAAAGGCAGGATTTGACTAGAATATTCGAGTTTACTGCAGCAGACATCCTGGATTACAAACTCTCCTCACATAAACACTTAAGCAGATATTTTATTTGGTAGAAGAGATCATTTTTGTCTCAGCAAAAAAAATGAAGTTTTAAATGTAAATGTTTAAAATGTCTCACAACAAACCACTCAAATAATAACTTCAAAGAAAAGCCAAAAGCATTAGTTGAAAGGCCATAAGAAAATTGCTAAGGAATAGCAAAATTATCTTGTAAGTTGAGAAGCTCATTCACGTGTTCTCAAAGTATTTATTGATAATCTGCAAGGTTCCATGTGGTGTCCTTGACATCAGAAAGTTCAAGGTGAACAAAACTAGGATCTTTATAAGCAAGAGATGATAAAGGCATCTGCATGTCTGCCTATGCTTGTGTTGTGATGAGTTATTTTGAGCACCAGCACCAGACTTCTTAGATCTGAATTCATTCACTCACTTTTTGACATTGGGAAGATTAATTAATTTCACTTTGCCTGTTTTTGTCGGTGAAACAAGGATAGTAAAAGCACATCCTCACTGGGTTATTGTAAAGGAAAAATGAGTGAATCATGGAAGCTTTTTAGAACAGTGCCTGACAAGTATTATTCAAATGTTAGCATTTATTTATTTATTTATTTATTTATTTATTTATTTACTGTACTGGGGATTGAACCCAGGGCCTTCACACTGTGCTACATTCCTCAACCCTTTTTTAAAAATGTATTTAAAATGCAGCTTCACTAAATTGCCCACTCTGAGCGCAAATTTATGATCTGTGAGGTATGTTAATGGTAGTTGAATGGGAATTGCATTGAATCTGTACAGCAGTTTTGGGAGTATGG